CGTCTACGCCGAGTATAAAAACGGAATCCCAAAGACCAGGAGAAGAAATAATGGTGGAAGCCGACCTAAAGATTCCGCTAGACCGGCTTCTGTGTGAATATAAGATCTGAAAATAATATAATATTGTCACTTGTCCGGTGATGATTGCTGATGGGACGCATCATCCTAGTCTGCAGCCCTAGGGAATCTAGCCCGACAAGGAGGCATTAAATACTCCACATGTGCGCATTTAATGTCTGACATGTAATCATTGGAACAATCTCAAATCGCTTTTGATATATGTCAGAGCGGCGCTGACCTGTCCCTCCAGGCCACTGTGGGACAAAACGTGATGAAAGTGCATGAACAATTCCAGATGAAGGCTGCTATAAATAGAATTTCACCATCATTTATGGAGGGTTGTTGAACATTCCATCAACTACTTTCTCTCTCTACATTTACTCCTCCATCTGTAATAAATTCTCGTAAATATTTCAAGTGTAACGAAAGTGTCGACGTCAACAATAGAAGTCAGCCTCATAATTAGTAATAAAACCCAATTATTTCGTAAACCCCAATTTCTCGATCGTCCAAATAATTTCTTTACTTTTTATTTAACTGTTGATCGGATCCTACCATCAACATACTTATTTTAATTCTACACGAGTTAAATTTTTTAGTCATAAAAATAGTTAAAGTTAGGTTGAGCAAAATTATTATTTGTTATATCTAATAAAAAATGAATAATAGATAATAAATAGTTATTTTTAATTATTTATTTTTCATTTATTTTCTAATAATTAATTAAATAATTTTAAATATAATAGTATTATTTGTAGAATTATATATTTATTTCTCATTGTTAGTTGTTGGTTAGAATATTTAAAAACCGGAATCTTTAAAAGCCATGAGAATGGGTAAACTCATACAGTAGCTAAAAAAAAAAAAAACTAATCTCATACTGATGAGCTTTGCGGTTTGTACTTCAAATTACTACCTCTTATTTTTAATATATGTCGTTTTGAGAAGTTGCAAATTAATTAAAAGTATTTTTTTGTCAATAATAACCTTATTTAATGAAGATAGAGATGAATGTTTTATGAAAAAGTGAAGAGTAAATATGAAAATATGTAATGTATTTATTAGCTAAATGATAGTAATAATGAAAAAATATGTACAAAAGATCCAAAACGACATTTATTTAGTTAATAGTTGATAAAACTAGAATGATATTTAAAAAAAATAGGAGGGAGTATTTTATACCATTCATAAGATCAGAAATTTGTAAATGCATATGTACGACAATCTATATATATAAACAAATTTACCAAATACCAATTTTCAAAAATGGCAACTAAATTTTTGGTCAAACCTCTTTTTTCATTAAATGTTTTCTATTTATGGCAACTTTTTTTTTCTTTTTTTCCCACGGACAACATTAACTAAAATCCAATCCATATGAGTTGTTACCAGCCCAAAAATCGCGGCTTTACACGTGAAATTTTTGGAAAAAAAATTCAAATCTACAACAGATTTTAACAAAAAAATCCAAGCAATTCGTACAAAAAAATCTTACAAAAGTATGTTAATTAAAATTGAAAAATCAAAAGTATTGAGAGATTTTAAATCGAACAACAGATTTTTAACAAAAAAATCCAAGCAAATCGAACAAAAAAAATCCTAAATCCAACAAAAAAAACTAATATTGATGAATCTTAAAAACCCAATAAAGCAAAAATAAAAATCCCTAACATATAAAAAAACTAAAAGATAATAAACAAAATTTCGTTTTCGGGTAAAGAAACGAATGATTCTTTTTTAAGAATCATAATAATCGTTAAACAATAATACAAAATCGATCAAAAACTTAAAGATTCAAAATGAATTATAATCTTCATTCGAGCAGGTTTAAAAAAAAATGTGAAGGACAACCTAAGCTTGATATAAAATAAATGTATTCGAACAAAATTTATATAATAAATCTAGCTAACAAACCTAAAAGTAAAATTAATTTTCAGGTTCAGTAAAATAAAAATAAATTTCGACCAGAAAAAAAAAATGAAAGAAGATGAACGAAAAAAAAAAAAAAAATGTCTGCGGCGAAAGTAGGAGAGCAAGCTCTTACCCGATAGTTTCAATTTTGTTGGGTTTTATACTAACCCTCAAATCAACCGTCGGATCTTCTTTTATGGTGATGGAAATTCAGTCTTGGGCTAATAAAATTCCAATTTTAATGAGCTTAATATAAGATAATGTAATGGGTCGACGTTATTTGGGCCGATTAAAAGCAAATATTGTTCTTTATAATATCAAGCCCCTTTATTATTACCACGCTATTAGGTATTAAGCCCATTTAAATAGTATTAATATATATCTTATTATAAATATTTTTTAAATTACATTTTATTAATTATAATTTAATATATTTTTATTTAAATGTATATCTTAATTCCAAAAATTTTTTACTTTCGTAAATATAAAAAATGAAATATATAATTCAAAAATATTTAAAATCTATTACTATTAAAAAAATGGAGGTATTTACTTGAATTGGATAATATTTGGATTTATCTTCTAATTTGATCAGTAATTTGACATTGTTGGACATTAAATAAAATTACATGATAGATTTACATAAACCTTTGTTGATAAAAAATGACGGCATACAACAATTAAGTTTATATGTTGAGAAATATTAGGAACATATATATCGTATATATAATACCACTGGAAAAAATATAATAAATTATGTTTAAATGGTAATTTAACCATATTATATACTAATTTTTTTTGCAATGTGTAGCATATGTCTATTATTTAAGGAATAATAATATTACTTAAACAAAAAGTATTGTGTAAAGAGAGGTTAACAAGGTGTAAAATATGAGTTCCTCCGTTCATAGCACGATAAAGGATAGGCAGTAGTTGCATGTTAATAGGCGAGAGCTTGTAATGCCAAGTGCCATGTTATAGATTCCCATGTTTATTGCTTTAGAACATTATGGATTTCATATTTTATCTTAGTATTTATCTAATAGAAATTGTGAATAAAACAAGAATAATTTATTAAATCTTATTCATTCATTTTTTTTTTTTTTTTTTTTTTTTT